CAATGGCTGCGCTTCCTACATAGCATTCTAAGAAAAGGGCAAAACCAACAGCGATCGAGTCGCAAGGCTCCTACCAACAAAAGACATTCATTATACCACACTACCTGTAGGCCACAACACACATTATATGGCAAATGATTACCTCCCATTCTTCCCTCCAGACAAATGTTTACAGTAAGGCAACAGTGATACAGGAAAGTCACTATACCTTCAAAAATACACTAATGCTTTGATGCAGGATGGTAAAGAATTTGAATGTATTTATATACAAATTCTTTTATTTTCACTTATACTGCTATTATATATTAATAAAACATGTATGTAAACTGATAACACATTTAACTGTTAACACAGTGTAGCTAAACACACTCACATGATGACATCTCAGGGCTGACTGATATATATTCATCGGCCATCAACTGTGCGACCCTAAACCCACAGACATTTGCAATGCTTCACACCAACCCGGCTTTGTAGCCGCCTTGAAATGGAGGAGAAACAGTGGGCACTGTGGAAAGACATGATAACGTCCAACAGCCTTTTGATAGCAACTCTTGATATTTACTTCAAAGGCCCATTATACACAGCCAATTAAACCAACATAGTGTGGTTGGCTCTTCTCCCTCTCGGCAATGGCTGCGGGGATCGAGACTGGCTGCAGAAATAACTCCAACACACATCCCAAATGTCAACAAACATGAAAGAAACTGTGAAATGCACAAGATGGCTTAGCAAATGGCCAGACTGTAAGTGTTAGAGCAAACTGTAATCTCCTTAAACAAGTGTCTCTACATGCTAGCAGTGTTAACTGGGGTAACCCACAATCATTTAGGTTTGTGGAAGAAATAAGTACATCATAAAGGCATGTTTACCACTGTAATAGTTCATATATGTGTGTCAGACAATGATAGAAACTGAGTGCAAAGAGGGAGCACGAGCAGAAAAAGAAAAGATTGAAACGAAGGAGAGATGAAGGAGGGCTGAGCAGAGCAAAGAGAATCTGCGTGATGGCCGACGGCCCTTGTGCTCAGCTCGTGTGCTGAATGAAAAGAAGCCCCCGTGTGGGTGTGGGTGTGTTTTTGTATGTGTGTGTGAGTCTCTGCAGTAGTGCTGGGGGGTCGGCCCCCTCTCGGCCCTACTGGTGCTGAATGCAGAGCAGGCAGCATCAGGCCGAGGCAAATGACTACAAGGCCTCCTCAGTGACTGCAGCACAGGCTGCACCTGGGGAATGGCCCTGTACAGCAACACAGCCGCAGCCAGCCACAGTCCATCACAACGCATCCCATAAAGAAACCCTGCAGGAAGTGCACTCATTTCCACCAGGCACGGTCCATAACAAAAGTACAAGGTTTCAAATTGTTTTTTTCTAAGGTGATTTTTACATCTCTTCCTGCTGAGCTATATTAATGCTATTGACTCAAATGATCATCTGGGCCTTCTCATCTTTTTTAATAGCAGACACTGCTACAAGCTGCCATGTTTTAAATGCAAGCCAGTCATTAGTTATTTAGGACATGGGTCATCCACCAGACAACCCCTTCACCTATAAACAAATACGGTATAGGACAGAGATTATCAGCACTATACACCTTATACCTTCTACCCTATATGATCAGGATTCACTAAATGTAGTAAAACTCAATAATAACAAAACTAAGATACAGCAACTCTCATCTCAAATTCATTCCTGGCCATTGTTTGACCTAAACTATGAAGGTTAAAAAGAACAGTGTCGTTTCTACAGTAAGAATCTTTCAAATTTAGACCTATGTTTAATCATTGTTTTCTGTGTTCACCAGCCTGTTGTGAAGTCCTGAGTTTACCACAACCATACAAGGACACCATAATGATCAATCAATCTGAGCTTTTAACTGCATTACCACAGAAATAAACCAAAACAAGATGTCCACTGATATGAGCAAAAATACTACATCTATGTTAAGACTATTGAAATAAATCGAAAACAACCCATCTCTGTCTCTCACATTTCATTTCCTCACTGACCTCTTAAATTATCTTCTTTTGAGCCCTGACTTATGATTACAGACCAGAATTAACTCTAATGGTCAAGCAGGAGGCAGCAGTCAGATAAAATAAATGGGTTTCTGGTGTTACTGGAGTTACCAGAGGCCAACTGCATTGACGCATGTTTTACCCTAACAATGGTAGAAATAGTAATATCGTGAAGAGAAGTGTGTTATGTGTAATGTGTGTATAATGACAACAAAATTAGGTAATGCCAACATAAATATGGTTATTTTGTTATTTATTGTCAGTGGTGTAATTGTAAGTGTATACAGTATGTATAGGTGGCTTTGCCATTTTTATCCCACCTGACAATAGGCCTTCTTTAAGAGCCTTATTATACAATGACAGATTTCCCTGTATTGGGTCCATAAATCATAGAAAACCAGTAAACCCATCACTATCAGACTCATTGGCTCCCCTCTCTAAACAATAACTGAAATCCTCTTATTTGGAACAGTTTGCAGCTTTTGAATTGATGCATTCCCCCAACTTGCTTTGTTACTAGATAAGTGATAATAGATAAATTAATGTGAATAAATGGAAGCATTTTATATTGGTGAATCCAGATGCAACTAGCAAATTACATATAACTGCTCTTAGTCACAGCCAAGAGTACTGGTCACTGTTTGAACCCAGAAATTTTCCCATTCTGTGCCTTTACTTGTATTCCAATTGTATTTCATTTGACAAAGTGATTTGTAAGTCCAAGAATCCGTTTAGCTGTATAATCTTGGCTAACAAGAATTAAGCCTGATCCTTGCTTCCCCACAGTTGGTTAAATTGCTGCACAGAAAAGAATACAAAACAATGACATCTTTATTAACAATGACTTAGTTCAGTATCGTATTTTTTAAGTGGGTGGAAATGGGAAAATGTGTGTCCAGTTAGGTGAAATAATTAAAAGCAAATCAACTTGTTTCTTGATACAAATGCAAGGGAAAATATATTAGAAAAATAAAACTGTCTGGTCTCATTAGCAGATAGAATCTTTTTTTCCTGGTAAACAAGTTTAAGAGTCAATATTGGAGCATGAACTGTATATTTCCCCAGACCACTATACAACCACTTATATCAAACAGCTATACTGCACTGTAACTTTTATTGGACCTCCTGACTGAATGCATTTTTCATCATCATTTTTCCATTCTTTTCTAATGGACACTAGGGTTCTTTAAGTGGTGCTTTGTTAGTCTACCCTGCAACAACTAAAAAAGGTCTACATCCAGTGAGACTTCCAGAGGGCCTGTCTGATGGGCGCTGCACATCATGCTACACCTTCCAAACTGAAAAGCCGGTTCAATTATTCATGTCAGAGACAGAAAAGCTATATTGCACAAAGTTTTTAGTTTGAAGTCCAAGTGTTGATATTATTTTTATTCATTAAAAATTAAAATTTCGTAGCTTGGCCATCGAGATGAGGGGTTAAGCCATCTTGCGTCGAGCTGTCAGTTGGTCTGCATATAGACTCACAGACATGGATACACACACACACAAAGTGCACTTAAAATGTGTGTAGTGGAGGATAAGGGGAATGGACGGTGCGTCAGTAGGATGCGTGCACTGAGACGTGAATAAAGACCATTTGCTCATGGATTCATAGGCTTCCGTCATCCATTATTTAGCATGGAGAAGAGCAGTGGATTGGTGGCTGGATGATTTTTCTGACAGCGTTTACATGGCTGACGGCTACAGAAGTGATGATTTTTAATGCTCAAGATAAACTCGTTGTTTTGACAGTTGTGAACGTTTTTTTTCTCCCAAAGATCCAGACAAAGATTTACGTTAAACTTTGCAGCCATACTGTAAAACAATTCAGTGTTGTTCGAAGTTCGAAAAGTCCAAAAATGTATTAAAAATGAGAAGACTTACAGTACAGTATATATTCCATCAGCAACACTCTCGGATACACCAATATCTAAAAACATGTTTGCGGCAAATCCATTTATGGACAATTAAGAGATTGCTATAGATTTCAACATGGCCGATTTCGCCTCAGCGGACAAATGTGAAATGTCAACAAAAAATAGCAGTCGCTAGCCAGCATTTGCCCTCCATCCAAAAGCAAAATGACATTAGCTCTTGTCTATTGAGTTTGCTAAATGCCCCACATAAAGTGAATTTGCCCCCCAGGGCTGGGAAACAATCACGCAGGCAAGCGTTCCATTTAAGTGATTTGAATGATCGGAGTGCTGCAGTGCTTCCTATCAACCAGAGAAATGGGTCAATACACTGAGACTAAGTGACATGGCTGGCAGCCTGCGCTCTCGTGGAAGACCAGGCAGAGGAAGAGGAGCGGGACCTCACTGTCATTGGGTCAGACAGACGTGAATACACAGACACACACAGCCTAGCTGGTACAAGCTAGGCCTTTGTGTAGGTTCATGTCAGAAGACTTGTAAAGTTAACTCGGACGAAACACATCTCTCCAGTCACAAGTTCATCACATGACAAACACCACTTGTGAATGTCATTTGGCCAGTATAAACTTCATTAATTGCAGCTTTCATATCACAGTATGATTATGAAATCTTTTTTCACCAACCTTTCACTTATTCCATTTTAATCATGGAAAGAACTCTGGATCTAGCGGCATACTAAGTACCACAAAGAAATCTCCTTTGGGCTATACAGCCCATTTAGAATATTTCAAACCAGATCTGACTTGATGGCTCACAAATGATTTCCTCTCAACTGTTTGTGGTAAGTATACCAATATCTATATAAATGTGATACAATGTATCAGTTCTAAAATGTATCTCAGTTAAATCAAATCCATCAGACTGTTTCTTAATACAATCTCTCATAACAATCAATGAGAGATCAATAATCTTACAAGAGCAACTCAGAGACAAACATGATCCTCATCAGTAACTAAATACTGATGCCAGATTTCGCACTACCAGTATGACCACTTGGATTTATCACTTTCAGACTTTATACAGCAGTTACTGTAGTAAAGAAAGATGACTTACTTTCAGCGTTGATTGACATTGTGTCTTTCTCCCAGGACACAACAGTGATGTAGGCCTCCACTGAGGCAGGGATAATGCACTTGAAGACCGCCACATTGCCTCTCATGGCTTTCTGGTCCTCCACCCGGACAGTGTAGGGCTCTCGTAGGACTGGGGGGAGGGGACAAAGAAGTGTGTTGTGTTTAAGACGCAAAAATGCCAATACGGCGCTAAGACAAGCTACTCTTCATAATGGACCAAGATTGTTTGGGTTGCAACAAAGCACAGACAATCATGAGCAGAGACACTGACCAGCCTTAATGTGGACATCTTGGCTCCTGATTCTCCCTGAGGGGTTCTCCGCTGTGCAATAGTAGGTGTTGTCATGGATGAGTTTGCTGAAGCTGGAAGGGGGTATGTGGAAGATCTGAAGGGTGCCATTGGGGTGCACATGGCGGATCCCTGGCACATCATAGATCTCCTCGCCGGTGGCCAGGTACCAGCGCAGTGAGACAGGGGGCACACCTGTGGCGGGACAGGGCACCGATGTCCCTGTGGTGCTGGCAAACACTACCTCTTGCACAGATGCATTGACAAAATATAAGCTGGAACGTAGATCTTCACAGAAAACTGCAGGGAGAGAATGAGATTACAAACAGAAATGTTAGGAAGTAAATATAATTCTAATTCATTGTCTATCAAAACTTGAATATTGTAAGGCAGACGTCTGAATAATTCAACTGACAAGCTGTACCCACAGCTCATAAACCCCACATGTGATGTAACAGAACAACTATTATATTTGACAGAATTATGCAATCTCTGCATTTTCTCTGAATTTAGGCCGAGTGTGTTTTTCCCTGGCTGACCATTGTGTTTGTGCTCACTGCAGTGGAGGGAGGTTGCAGGAGTGTGTCTCTTGTTGTCCATGAAGAGACATTGCAGCAAAGCTCTGGGAGAGCAGCAGTGGACGTGAAATAACAGAGCCAGCAGAGCACCAGACCACACCCTTCCTCTAAAACATGCACATCTGTGTACACAACACAGGACACTAAAGCTAACTGATTAATCCACTGACAGAAACAAGAAATAATCAGCACCTATTCTGATAATTGCTTAAACATCATTGACAAGTCATTTTTTGAGCAAAAAAAAAGCCTTTCTCTGGCTCCTGGTTCTCACATTAAAGGACGTATTGCTTTTCTCTGTTTTATGCAATGGTAAACTCGATATTTTGGGGTTTTGGACTGTTAGTCCAACAAAATAATAATGATAATCTTATAATCATCCTAAAAACAAATAGTACACGTATAATAGAAGGGGCCATGTCATAATGTGTGTGTAAATGTTCACAAGATCATGTCGGTGTTTTCAAGGTTTTATTTGTCTTCTTTTTTACTGTTTTTGTGTTTACCCTCCAACAGCCAAACAACCATACATTCTCTCTTGACAAACAAATTTGCATCCATGCTTTCATCAGAATTAAAAGCTGTCATAGCTTCCGTTGCCTCCAAAAGGTTTAAATAAGTAATTTATCATTGTAACAATTATATTGTTGCTGTGATGTCAAACACTCACTGAGAATCCAGTTTCCGTGATTACAATTTAGATATTAAAAAAAGCCCTAAAAGCTGGTATGCAGTCAATTTGTTATGTTAATCTACACAGTTTGCAGCAGAGGATGTTTCCAAGTCATCTTAACTAATGAAGCGAGTCAATGTAATGTGATGCACTTCCCCTGTAGTAAGTTACTGTGTTGGATAAAAACTGACAATGCAACTCTTTGCTGTAATGGACAACCCACACTGTTGGCTTGAAGCCAGGATATGTATACTGGCTAGATCCCAAGGAAGAGTGGAGGACTTGTTTAATACATCCACTGCCTTTTTAATATTTTTAATATGTTTGTTTTATTTTATTTGAGTTGTGGAGAAAATAAACTAAATAGTCATAATGTGAGATAACTGCAGAACCCTGATTGTAGTACATTTCTATAAATCTTCTGTTGAAAAGACTCTGTCTGTACCATTACAGTCACTTAATGTAGTTAATATTTGTATCTGCCCTCTGCACAATCTTAATTGTCTCTGCACAAGAGGAGATGGTAGGTAAGTACAAACAAGTGATGCCACAATTGCTTCTTTTAAGATGGACAGGTAACTAACTAAACCAAAAAGTTTTCATCAATTAACTAAATTAATAACTTAAAAAAAGTTATATATATATGAGATTTAAAACATTACTATAGCAGCACACAACTATTAGCTATGTAAAGATTTAGTGGAGTCATGGTGTTCTAAGCTAAGAATAATGTCATGTTGCTATCACGCCATGTCTGTGTCTATGTGCAGCTGATAAGAGCGACTGAAACTGCTGTGTTTTTCATCTACCTTGCTGAATTAATGATTTATTTAGACCAAACCAGAGTTGGTGATTGTTGGAGCAGTGGAAAGACTCATTTCTGCTGTGGCTCAGCTAGAGCAGGTCATCCACTAATCAGAAGGTTGGCAGTTCAATCCCCGGCACCCTCTGCTGCATGTCAAAGTGTCCTTGAGCAAAATACTCCCAAATAGCTCCTGATGCTGTGTCATCGGTGTGAGTGTGAGTGTATGAGGCATGTAGGGTTAAAGCTCTAGTCAGAAGACAAGAAATGAGCTATACAAGTACAGTCAGCAGTACTTTTACCATTCGTAACAAACACTGTTTTGGTGAGTTTTATTTTGTGTCTGTCCACTTTGAATGAGATTACGATGATATGCGCAGTAAAATTAGACTCTGGTGGCAAATGACAGCTGTTTCTACAACAGCTGGAAAAGCAACATAAGCATTCAGAGAACGGCATTTTATACACAAAGGTCCAGTTTATCCCAACCAAATTATAAGATAGGAAATGCAAAGGTGAACATAAACAATACTGTACATATTGTGTGTCCAGTTGAAATTACAGTGATCACAAACTGTGCACAGCAGTTGGACGATGGGTAAAAGTTGAAGCATGAATTTCTCTGAAGCGTGCTCTATGGCATGGTGGCCCTGAGAGCTTAACTTACTGTAACTAAAACAACACATCCAAATAGATGACACAAATGAACGAATGCAGCGTAACTTCTAGGCAAAAGAGGTGCAAATAAAGAGAAAAACAATCAAATACACAGCTGCACAGAACAAACTTAAGAAACTGAGAAACACGCTTGAGCATGCTGTTGTTATCACAGTTTATGGCTCATGGCATTACTTACTCCATGACTGACCATGACAGACAGAGGCTATGTTTGCCAGTTTATTAGGTTATCTAGCTAGCTAAAACTAATATAGTCTAATACATATTTAGCTTACCCTCATTTACATAAATGGGACAAAAATAACAGATACAATACAATTCAAAAGCACCACAAACTGCAGTCTCCAAAATGACCATGATGTTGAATATGCACCTCTCTAAAACAGCTTGAACAAAATGTTATGCATGTGTGTTTGTTATACTGTGTGTTGTCAGATTGGTGAAAGTTTGCTAATGCTTTATTTCTTGCAGTGTTGTTATTCTTGTTGTTTTCTTCATTTGCTTGTGTTTTGTCTACTTGCATGTGTTTTCTGAAGTCGCCTCACTGCTGTCTATCATCTTTTCACAAATATATATTAGTTATGGAGTAGCTCAGGAACATTTTGTGCTTTAAAAGATTAAGAAGATTTGATTAGATTTTAACTTTTTAAGGCCATACAAGGATAATGGCAGATATTAAAGTAAAGTAGATGTAGGTCAGATTTATTAAAATCAGTTGCATGTGCAGGTTAAATAAAATTGTTAATTTGCATTCAGTGAACACCAACTGTAAATATTTCAGACATCTCTACTGCATCTCTACAGTCTCTGCTCTCTCTATCGTGGGTTCTCCCCTCCTGTCGCCAGCCTGCCTGCCTGTGCGACAGCTGCCAATCCCCCCTCCCCGGAGACCAAACATTTTAGCGCTTCATAAATTCCTAATGAGCGCGCTCAAATCACCGGCCACTTCCACCCACTGGTCGTTCAACCTGTTACGACAAACAAACACCATGGCGTACACATGTTTCCGCACATTTCTAGCTGCACTCACTTCACACATGCAGTACTCTGAGGGCCAGGCCAGGAGGTGTTGAAAGGCAAACGGTTGTGGTTGTCGACAGTTACAAGGCTGTAGTTTTTTATCCAGGAGGAGGAAAGAAAAGGCAAAAGAGCCATGACACACGTCAGTTACAGGCCAAGCTGAAACATGAACATGAATGAATTCAAAACACTGATGATTTGGGAAGTTAGGCAGAGTCAAACATTGAGGTTTAATTTTCCCAATAAAGGAGTACAGTGAAGACTTCGAAATGTTGCAACTAATGATTATTTTCATTATCAATTAATGTGTCAATAATTTGCTTGATTAATTAATTAGTTGTTTAGTCCATAAAATGATGAAGATGTTTTTACTGTTTCCTAGACTTTTACTATCCTTAAATGTCTTGTTTTGTCCACAACCCAAAGATATTCAGTTTACTGTCATAGACAGAAAATATTCACATTTAAGAGGGAAGGGGTTTGGACAATTTTTCTTAAAAACGACTCAAATCTATTATCAACATATTTTTACTAATTAAATTATTAGTTGACAACTAATCGATTAATCAATTAGATTAATCTATACCTCTAAGAATAAGTCTGCTCATAAGGCAACACACACCTGCTTGTATGAGGTTGTATTTTGTGTGTATTGAGTGACAGTTTGATAGTTAACACGCAGATAAATAACCTTCAGCTTGTATTGTTCTGTCATCACATGACTACTCAAGTTTTCTCTGCATTTGTGAAAATACTTGGGCAGCAGGTAGGGGGCAGGGGGATAGGCAGAAAAAAATGTCTCACTGCCCATAATAATATATGCAGAACTTATCAAGGGTTCATTTATGGCCATGCAATCACACAGCGTAACAGCTTGTCAGTGGTTTTCTCAAGTAGGAAAATCTGCCATCGAGATGATCATAAAAATGCAGCATCTGTTATGAATAGCAGGGAGCTACTGTGACTGTTTGACTGATCAGTAAATGACCATTTTAACAGTTTACTTAATATGGCTCCAAAACAGACATGCTGGTTGTCATTATCTGCACACATTTCTAATGATGATCTATGGTGATATTAGAGTCTTTACTAGAAACGCACACAGACACACACACACACACACACACACACACACACACACACAGACACAGACACAGACACACACACACACACACACACACACACACACACACACACACACACACACACACACACACACACACACACACACACACACACACACACACACACACACACACACACACACACACACACACACAGACACAGACACAGACAAACACACACACACACACACACACACAGAGATGAGTTGTTATTGTGACACCGTTCCATCCATACTGTAAGGCAGTAGTTGTTTGGTACATAAAATGTTGATCATTGTTTCCCAAAGCCCGAGGTGATCAAAAGTCTTGTTTGATCCACAACCCTAATATTAAGTTTATCATAGAGGACTAAAGAAACCAGAAAATATTCACATTTTAAAAGCTGAAATCAGATCATTTTTCTTCTTAAAAGATGATTCAAAATG